TTTATTATTAGTATAATTTGCATTTGTATGATTGTAATTAAGAAAGAAATTTGATATTATACATTCCTGATGGAATTCAGAAAATTCAGCTAAAATCAGAGTGCTAATTAGTTTGCAAGTATACGAATGACTTAAATTTATGCATCATGAAAGGAATATTACCAATTTGTCTGATCCACACACTCTACTAAAAAACCATAATTAAAATATTCAATGTCAATATTGTTGCCATCACTATCATCACCTCATTTATCATTATAACTGTCGACAAAATGAACTGTCGACAAAATGAACTTTCGATGAAATGAACTTTCGACAAAATGAACTTTCGATGAAATGAATTTTCGACGAAACAAACTTTCGACGAAATGGGTGTCGACGAAATAATTTTCGACGAAGTAAACGGGACCGACGAAAAAAAAAATCCTAGAAGTAAAACGATAGAAGCAATTCAGGAGTGGGTCAAAAAGGAAAAGAAGAAAGAGGTGAAGAGTGAAGATTACGAAGATGATGAAAAGAAAGATACAAATATTAATAATGATATTATCAATAATAGTATGCCTATAATGTCAAGTTTTTTATTATCTGATCAAGTCACGTATTTCTTTTTCGGTGATTAAGTTGGCATCAGAAGAGCCATTAGCAAGCACTATCAACAGATGCAGTTGATATGGTAGTCGAGCAGCAGTTGCATCCAAAGAAGTTGTTGAAGCTATTAATATTTTTCTGGATAAGTGGTTTTAACAAGGGTGGATGTTGTAGTTGATGACGCCGTTTTTAATTCAACTTGGTTATCAAATGACCATTTTCTAGAGGTGGTGATGAAGAAGCAACAGCATTTTCTCAATTTTAAAGTTATGGAAACAAAAAAAAATGGAGTGAAAAGAGAATTGTAATTTAAAATAATTTAATAAGTGCAATAAATGCAATAAATACAATTTATATTTTATATTTTATCTTTATTATTAAATAAATTTTATTTATTTTATATCTTTTAATTTTTCATTTACTAAATCATCAGTAAATTGCCATAGTTTTTTTGCCAATTCTTCATCTTTACCATGTTTGTTTGTTGGAGATTCTACACCAAATGGAATAAAATACTTTCCACGCAGATTCTTATTTTCAATCTCTGGACTTGTTGCACAATATAATGTGGTCAATGCTCCATCATCAGGCGTAATCAAAAATATACATTTTGCAAGCCCCCAGAGTGGAGCTGTCCATTTATTTGTAATTTTTCCAATAAGTTCAGTATTTACATTTCCTACAAAATAAATTTTAGTGCTTTTCGAAAAAATAATAATAAATTAAAATTTTATTATTATTATTATTACTATATACTATAATTACCTGGATGTAAAGAATTGACATAAATTTTTTTTCCTTCCAGTTGTTTATTTAATTCAACCGTAAATAAAATATTTGCAAGTTTTGAAGTTCCATATCGTTTCATTGATGAAAGAGTTGGATCATTTATTTTATCAAATTTTATTCCATCGCTTGCAAGCTTATAAGCTTGGCTTTATATATAAATATATTAATTTTTTTTTAGATTAGAAATCAATGACGGATAAATAAACGGATGTACAAATGATTCTAAAAATAAGTAATTGATCGACTAACCTACTAACGTTAACTATCCTTGACGGAGCTGATGCTTCAAGTGTTGGTAAAAGTAATTTTGTAAGATACTTTATTTTGAAAAATTACAAAAATAATTAGCATCCACACATTGGGTCCCAACCAGCAAGCATTTAAATAGTTATAGTCAATTGCCTGCTAGTTTCTTAAAGCAGCTAAAAATTTTTTGGCCAGTTTAGATTAAAACTTACAAAATGCCCGACGTGATTAGTTCCGAATTGATCTTGAATTCCATCAACAGTTAAAGGAAATTTTCTTTTATCATATCGTGAAAATTAAATTGAAATTAATTAAAGATCTATTCATGTATATAAGAAATACATAAAAAATAATAACTTACGTTGCCGCTATACCAGCATTATTGACCCTAACAAAAAAATTTTATAAATATTATCATCACCAGTCAACTCACGTATTTATGTGTATGTATATGTATATATATATATATATATATATAACACATGTTTATTAACAATTTACTTACAAAATATGTAATGGTAATTTCCGAGCCAAAAAAGATTCGGCACATTCTTTAACAGATTTTAAACTTTGTAGATCCAATTGTAAAAATTCTACGTTTTGATTTCCTGTTTCTTGTTTGATCTTTTCAACGGCTGCTGTGCCCCTTTCGATATTACGAGCTAGAATAAATACATGTGCATTTTTTCTTGACAGTTCTCTGCAAGTAACGTATCCAATACCAGAATTTCCGCCTGTTACCACCGCAACCTAAAAAATATTATTAAATTAAATCAATTGAAATTGATTAAAAAATTCCCGTTGATTAGTATATTAATATTATAATTAGTTACTTTGCCAGATAAATCCGGAATCTCTGCAAATTTGAAATTTTTGGTATCAGAAAACATTTTTTTTTTTTAAAAAAAGAAAAAGGAAAATATTTTTTATATTTTTCGGATGAATATTATTATATTAATATTAATATTAATATTGATATGTAATGTGATGAGCAGTCATACCAAAAAATTAAATTATTTTCATAGTTTTAAAATCACAATAAAAATAAAATGACATTTTTGTTTATGGAGGAGAATATAACTCATAACTCTTGAGATACTAAATTTTGAAAAATAACCTTATATAAAGTCCTTCCCAAATTTAATTGGGTTTTTTAAATGTATATGCAATTTTGTAGCCGAAGAAATGTTTTATGTTACTAAAAACAATAGTTAAACAATAAGTTTATTAGTATTAATATCATTAACAATAATTCTTGAATGAATTCATTGATACGAGAATTACTAAGTTTTGGCCATTATGATTTTTAGATCACAATGAATGACCTTCATTTTTTCAAATATTGTTCTTACAGATACTTGTGACAAAGAGTTATATAGCTTCCTATTCATTATATACAATTAATATAGTAAACAATTGGAATGTTAGAAGGAATTTTGAAATGAACTATATACAATAAATCAAAACCCCGATTTAAATCCATTTATTTAAAATGCAATTTTAGGAAGAAAGTACTTAGATTCTCAATAACAATAAAATTGAATATTTTGTTTTTCATGATTTTAAACTAACCAATATGATTAAGTTGATGTGTTATTAAATAAAAAAATTTTTTTTTTTAAATATGCTTGTTTAAATTGAGATTAATAGTGAATAGTAAAAAACAGGCAGGCATTTACATCAACTATTTTTGAATTCATTTAAAATGAACCACCACCTTTGAATTCATTCGATGACTTTTAAATTTTCTCATCATCAAAATTTCTATATCATTTAAATTAATTCTACCAACAGGGTCCCCTCATCTACCAATTTTTCCATACCAACTACCATATTCTTCATCCATTTGTGGAGAAAGATCAGTTAAATTGTCATCATAATCATCATCAGTTTTGGCAATATACTGCCTGGGTTACTAGTGTTTGTTGTAGAAAAAAAAAGTAGAAGATGATGAAAGTCTTGCGGGAAGTTGTAGAAAAATTGACAAAAACCCATTTCGTTACTATAATCATAGCTGACTGTCAGGTAGATAGATAGATAGCTGTGATTTTTTTATTTTCAAGTGCTGCTCAGTTGACAAAGAATTTCAACCTATAATAACAGGAAGATACCATTCAATAGTTTTTGACATACTCATGTCTAACGTGTGGACTAATCAAATTATCTAAATGATTATCATCCTCATTATTATTAGTTTCACTAGCATATGATTCATGAGAAGGCAATTCTGCTTGATTCTATAATGTTAATGCAACATAAGGCTTCGAACGAATCGAATCGAATCGAATTTTAGAGTGATTTGATTCGATTTGATCCGTGACTCGATTCGAATCAATTCGAATTAAACCGAATTCCTAAATTTTTCTTAATGTCATATTATATACAATGAATCTCATAACAGATTGAGACTTAATAATAACAATAATGATAATAAAATTCTTCTCAATATAACGGATTTCTTGATATAGTCACAACGGATAGACGGGACACACATAACAATAAGAAAATTTTATATGTTTTTACATGTGAAGCAAAAATTTTAAAAATCGTAATGATAAGATTTAATCATTATTATAGTCCGCTGTGACAAGGATTGAATATAATAATAACGGATTTTTGGAAAAAAATTTCTAATTACCCAAACTATCTGCTAAACCAAGATTGTGTATATTTTAAATTTTTTAATTGGCAAAGGATATTATTTAGTGATGGTAGCCGAAACTGTTTTTGAAAAAAAGGTAGTTTCATCCAATACATATATATAATAAGTATCTAAATCAATCTATTTTATTTTAAAAAATTCCCAATTTCAATTAATTTCGTCAAATTTTAGGTTAATTAATTTCGGTAATTTCGGCCCACTAAGCGTAGTTTTGGCCACCACCACTAGTTCGAATCGAGTTGGGTTGAATCAGTTCGAATCAAATTATATATGTATTTAATATTCGAATCAAAAATTAGGTGATGCGATTCGATTCGATTCGGTTCGAATTTCATTGATTCGTTCGGAGCTTTAATGCAACATGAAAATCTTTGAGCGTGAACTGCTGATTCAGAAAAACTTTGTTAAGCCCACATCAATAAGCATTCCCTCTCCATATTGTTCAAGTAATAACATCTCCCTACTCCCCATCCAGTTTCTTGGTATAGTGAACTCTCACTATATCCAACTTGTCAGGAGACATAGAAAAAATCAATCATTATGTGCATTTAGAGAGGGATTGCATTTATAGAGGGCGGGGTCTTATAAGCAAAACATAATAATTGCATTTCGGGAAAGTTCCATGAGATGGAATGTGGGATCATGTAGTGAATGATTAGGTTTATTGATTCCTCTATATATAGAAACTGATAAAAGAAAATTCAATGTAATTCTTGCAAATATATAAAAATTTAAATATTATATATAATTTACCCATCCCAAAAGTAGTGAGTGATGTTAGCCGGCCAAAAAAAAATTTCTTTTTAGATCTGGAATTTTAGTACAGAATTCAGTGGAATAGACATTTTAGTTGAGATGGGTTCACCTGCATTACTTAGAATGACAAAAAAACATACATTTGCTCAAAACAAAATACAATACATCATAGTTCATAATAATAATGGTAGGTAGAATTCTTCACTTCCTGCTTCCGACACCCTAAATTTGGCCTTTCTGCTTAACTTCGAGATCATCGTCCCCGAATAAATGTTTTCATTATTTATGTGTAATTTTCAATCGGATCGAAGAAAATAAATCCAAATTCTACAACAAATGAAGAACAAGTTTTCTAGAATAATATTGTTTAGATTCACCATTAAACAAACTGGATGAAAGACAGAAATATAAGATTATTTTTGCAACAAAAAAAATTTAAAATTTTTTATGTTCAATAATTATTTCAATTGGATTTTAAAAGCACAAAAAATATGACAAGAATGGTTCCTAGCTTGTGTAGAAAATCTCATTTACTTTCAAACCTTCATGATTTTTTAAACATTTAAACATGGAAATTATATAATACAAAGCTTCTTGATGAAAAGGGGAATTTGATGTTCACATTCACATTGCAATTTAATGATATTAATATTAATGCAGCATGTAATCAATATTAAAATTGATGATAACTTAGCTGTTGAAGTTATTTATGATAAAACTATTGTTAGAAGAGTGATTTACCTATGAATCAATAACATATTTCATAGTAATCAGCGGAGGAAAATCGACACAAAAATTACTAATCAAGCTCCTTTGCATGAAAAGTTGTATTATCCTACTACATAATTGTTTTTTGTGTGTGCAGCATACAGAAAAAACTCAAAGATTATTGATATACAGTTTTTTTCTTTGGGGACATAGAAATTAGTTTTTCCGCAGCAAGTTCACTGATCCACGGATCTAAATTGTTTTTGAATCTTACACATTCCCAGAAATGGGTGAATCTTTATTTTATTATAATAATAATAAGTATTACAGCGTAATCAATCATGATGGCATAATATAAAGGATGGTCTTTGCTATCTTGCCGAAGGATGTGGAAAGGTGTTGCACAAGGTCTACAATATTTGCCGTCAAAAGTTCTGTTGAATTTTGTGAGAGAAAAGTTAAGAGATGGATGATTACATCATTGATATGATTGACTGATAGAATTAAATTTAATGATTATGTTAAATGGGATGTGTGTATCGATCGACCCGTGCATAAAATATTTAAATAATTACATTTTATTTTTTTAATATGTATATTTATTTATTTATATAATTTTTAAATTTTGATTTAAATTTTTAAATTTCTTTGCTAAGTTTACACACACACACACACATATATATTAATAAATATTATATATATATAATATTAATAAATTAATAATAATAATGATAATTTATTTTCCTTTTTCTTCTTCTTCTTCTACTTTTTTATCATCACTTTCTTTTTTTTCTACTTCAGCCTTTTCAACCTTTTCAACCTTTTCAACTTTTTCGCCTTTCTTACTATCATCATCACTTCCTTTCTCTTCCGGTTTACCTTCATTTTCTGACTTTAATCCAGCATTTGCTCTTTGAACTTTGATAAATTCATTTTTGAAGATAGTTGCATCTACAAAATAAATATTAAAGTGTTAGTAATTATAAATATATTATATTATCATCATATTACAAGTATATTTCAACGAATGATTGGTGGTGATATATACTTTCGGTATTAGCAAATCTAATGGCCAATGTTTCTACTTTTGGTTCACCATCAGAAACGTCTGCTGTAACATTCCACACCCATGAACGATCTGATCCAACATTTGGAGAAAGTTGCATTTCAGGAGTGACTAGAAAAATTGACATGATGATGAATTGTAAATGATGATAAAATGATAAATCATTATGAATTGTGTTATATGTTATGATTGTGGATTGATTTTAAAATGTTTACCAATTAAAAATGAAATGATAAATAAATTATGTAAAAAATACTTACTATAATGATTTGCACATACTTTATATGTCTTATCACGACGCATTACTAGACGAACTTTTTTAGTTTGTTTATGTTGAAGAAAACGTACGTCTCCAGTACCACGTTCTTTCCATTCTTTCAATAATTTATCAAATCTGAACAATTTAGCTCGCCTAAATTAATTATTTGATTTAATCAAGTAAATAATAAATAATATAATAATAATAAATAACTTATTGTGATAATAATCGTAATAATTGTAATAATTAATTTGTTTGGAAGCTCGTAGAGTAATAGATCACTTCTTTATATCTTATATCTTTACAGAAATTTCTTCCAATTTATATATATAATATACATGTATTTTTTATTCTTCAACAGTTTAGCTAACTTGCTATCAATTTAATACATTTTATGTATAATATGCAAGTGAATTTTTCTGTTGTTTTTTTTTTAAATTTTTTTTTACCCTTGATCTATTATCATTACTCTACCAATACCATTATCAATATTATAAATAGGATATTAATATTTACAACTCTTACATTTTAAAAAGAACGTCTTCGTCTTCTTCTAATGTTTTAACTTCAACCTCGTCCAATTTAACAAGTGGCTCAAAATGAATTTCTTGTGAAGGAACTACTTCATCCTATTATATATCAGATAAATGCAAGTGCAATAATCGATTATATCTTTTTGGTATGGAAAGCTTGTCTATTAAAACGCGTCAAATCAATCAAGCAATCTTACCTCTTCAACTTTCTTAGAAGATTCAGCGACTGGTTTAGTTTCAGCGTCAGTCGTGTCAGTCATATCTTTAAATAAAGATTTCTTTTAATAAAGTAGTTTGAGATATCAATCTAATTAGATAGTAGTTGATTTTGTTTAATGTATGTGTAGATAAAAAAATAATAATAGGAAAATTTTTTTTTAATAGCACATGTGTATTACAATTTAGTCAAGAGTTACACTGATGAAATGACAAATATCGTAACTAGTACAACTTTGGGAAACTATCTGCGGAAAATTACTAAAATGTAACACAATCCCAAACATCAATATCAACAACAAAAAAACGAAATTCTTCATCATTACATGGTTTGGGAAATATATGTTTTAAATAGTAAATTTATCAACATTATAACAAAAAGTGTTATATGTCAATTTTCTGATAATTATTAGTAGTATAATGAAGGCCGTTGTGGTATATCTAGTCTTATCATGTCCACCACCCTGTGAAAAATTTAAAACACGGAAAACACACTGAATATATATTAATATCAGATATGGATGTAATTCATCGTTTTCCATAAAATTTCATACATTTCAGTGCGAAAATATACGGAAAAGCATTCTTTTCTGGTAAAATTCAGGGTGTTTATGTACAATTTCGCCGCAGAATCGTAAATTAATCTGTGAAGTAATATCATTATTAACACGTGTAATTAAAGCTCTTGAAATAGCACCAGTATCATTAGCATACACAGAATGAGATAATGTAGGTCTACTAATTGAACCACCATATCCACGTTCTTCAACCGCAGGTGTATTTCTCACCATAGACTTAACACCCGTAATTCTTTGAAGAAGCCATTTCAAACCCTAGTGTTGGAGTGATAGTGGCTTATCATCCACCGACATTTCATGCTTTTAAACGGTTAAATTTAAATGATACCAAACAAAATATTGTTTTAAAATGTATTGCTGAAGGAATTAGTGTTTATAGTCCTCATACTGTTGATTGTAGTGTTGGTGGAGGTAATAAATTTGAGAAATTTTTATTAATTGATTTAATTGATTGATTGATTTTTTTCGATGGTTTGCTGGATGGGGTTGAAAAAGTAAATGTTTGGTTAACTAAAGGACTTGGATCAGGAACATCTATATCTTTGATGCCTAGTGAAAAACCACCTGCAGGTATTTATTTAGGTAAGCATGTGTAATATATGAATACTTATTATTAATAATGGTATTTTGTTATTACAGGTCACGAGGGAGCAGGAGCAGGCAGACTTTTCACATTAAAGACCAGTATCATTTTTAAACGAATTAAAAATCATCTAAAGTTAAAACATGATAAATATAAATGATCAATTGATAAAGATGATGATAAAGATATTAAAAATGATTTAGAAAAGAAATCATAAATATTAAAGAATAATTATGCTGAAAAAAATCTATCAATTATTCATACATAATATTTATATAATTATTATTAGTAAGCACAATTGGAGTCTGGTAATTATAAATAAATAAATAAATAAATAAATTTTATGAATAAAATTTTTATTTCTAGTGTTATTTCAAAAACCACATTCTCTCCTTCGAATTAAAGATGTTTCAGTGCTGTCACCAGCAAAAGCAGATTAATATTTTACAGGAGGAATGTCACATCATGAAGTATTGGCAGCATTGGCAAAGGATAAAAGTGTGATTTTATGTAAATATTAATTATTTAATTTATTTATTTCTAAAATTTAAATAATCTTTTCCTTTCCTCTCATTCCAAAAAAAAAAATAAAGGCGAACATACAAAACCCAAATTAAAAAAGAAGATGACGATAATCAAGATCAAGAAGCAAATATATTGTTAAGTCAATCGGATAAAGATTCTTTGGAAATAATTTATAATTTTTTAAAAAATTAACAATGTCAATTAAATCGTTGGATTCAAAAAAAACATTGATTCGTTTCAAGAAGGAATAATATTGGTTTAAGTATCAATTTGATTTATTAAATAATGAAGTATAGTTTTTTTTATTGTTGCTATTAATAATGGTTTCTTGAGATTTTATTATGCCTTTATGGCAAATTTACGTTGTGGAAAATGAATAGCTTTAACATGAGCACTAGTTTTAAAAAAAGCGTTTTTTGTAAATAAAAAATTTTTAAAAAATTTTCTTAATCAAAGTGTAATAATAATGATTACCGTCTAGTTTTCTTTGAAGCTTCATTCTAATCGATGTAAAAAGTGGGTATAAATATTAATGATTTTTATTGATGCATTTTTAGTTCCCCAAAATAAAACTTACCTTGGTCAACTTTCTACGAATTGCACGGGTTTTCTTTGGTCTAAAATCAAGAGGTTTATATTTTTTACCTTTATAATAAAGACGAATTTGTGCACGTTGTGTTTGTGAAATAACTGTATTTACTCTTGCAATAGATTTACGAACTTCTCGACTACAGACGAGCAAGTAGGATGATTAATTATCAATTAATGATAATTAATTTGATTGATTGATTAAAGATATACAAATATATTTAAAATTTTTTTTACAAACATCTTTGTTAACTTTGATGCAGCGCCTCCAGCTATCTTTTGTACTTTAAGACTAGAAAGCTCTTCTTTAAGATCGCCAAGTTGTTTTGTTAATTCCTCCTTGGCATTAGTACGAATTTTATAAGCTTTTACTGGTGCCTTTTGTTTTTTTTTTTGTGATTAGAAAACATTTATATTTATTTACACTTATCAACATAAATCATTTGTGCAAAAGCACACTCGTGTATATGTATATAGATATTTACCATGATTTAATATAATTAATTGTCGAGAGGCTAAAATTATAAATAAAATAAAATTTTTAAAAAAAAAATTTTTTATGTACAAGAACATAAAATTGATCGACCAATCATAATTCAGCATAATAATATTTTTTACTTTTTATTAATTTTAAAAATAAATGTCTTATGTACACATTAAAAATATATATATAATGATGATAATGGCGATATTGAATGATAATGAGAGAAGAATAGAGGATTTTTTTAAAACATGTCATCATCTTTAAGGGTTGGAGGAATGGGAATTTTTATAGGTTATCAAATTTTTCATGTCATTCCTTAATTATAACTAGCCCTAGTCTAAATTTTGTAAATCTAAAATTATAAACTTGTCCAGAAATTATAAAAATAATAAAAAAAATTGAATATAAAGTGTTAAATAATGTTCAAAAAATTGTTTTTGTCAAATAATAATAATAATGGTGAGCCAGTCTCTAATCAATCAATATATTATTAGTTAGGTCCAATATCCAATTCCAAAGTTGTTAAGAGCTGCTGCTGTCACACTAGCACCGATTGCAGCACCAATTCCAGTCCAGAGTACACATCTTTTTGATCTAGAACAGGCACTGAAAAGGCCGTCGGGTTCGTCCGATTTTCTTTTGAGCGATTTGATTTCATCCTTGACATCGGGTTTAAGAACAGCTATTTCCTCGTGAATGTACGTCGTTTTAATAGAAGCAACTTCCGTCTTAACATCATCATGGTCACGATCAGTGGATTGTTGTGGTCTCTTTCCTTTGATGTCGACTGGTGACGAGTTGTCATTATCATCATCATTGTCACTGTTACTGTCGGTTAAACTCTTGTTGATATGGTTATTGATTGATTTATTTGTGATAGAGAAACGAACAGCAGCTTTTCTTTTGGGTTCTTTATAAGATGTTTGATCATTATCAAAATTGTTTTCTACTTTTACGTTTGAACCATTGATTGACTCAGTCTCATTACTAGATGTGCCATTTTCCTTGGAATCATCATGACTATTCTAATATAATTTTTTTTGTATGATTGAGTATATGTAAATATTTATTTATTTATTTGTGTATGCATTATGGATAGAATTTCCAAATTACCTTTATTCTTGATCTTTTTTTTGGGCTCACATACCACAAATTATCATGTTCAAATAATACAGACACACTATCATAAATTTCGTATCTTTCAGCAATATCACGTGCTAATTGTCGTATAATAAGTAATTAATATTTTTAATATATAATAAATAATACGTACCTATCATTATATAATATGTCATTTACCTGTTTTAAGCGGGATCCTAAATAGTTATACAAGTATATGATGTAAAGAGATTGATTAATACAAATTTTCATAATAATATAATACATTTTTTAATATGAATTACCTACCAAATACCATGAAAATAACCCTCTTCAACGTTTCTATATTCAGTAACTTCTTTTTTCAATTTTTCAAGTTCATGTTTCCATTCATTCTCTTCTTTATCAGTAGGATATCTGACACGCAACATGTAATAAAGGTTAACTTCGTCAGTATCTAGACGACGCCAAACATCATACTCGTCCTCCTTAAATCTTATGGTAGTTTCAAGGATCGGGATGTCGTTGATATAATGCTTTTTAAAGACCTTTGAATGAGGATAGTTTGAGGGAGTAGACGTTGATTTACGAACGTTCCTTGGAGAAGTACGTGTTGGAGTTGGTGGAGTTGTACGACGACTTTTGGTACGAGGAGTTGCAATTGGTCTTGTTGTTACATTTTGTCCCGAATCGGATTTAACTTCAAAATTATTCGTTTTCTTTTTCTCGTTATTAGCAAGGTCCTTATTGTTTGTGTTGATTTTATCATTGTTTGCGTTTCTACTTTGAGTACTTGTTCTTGTGGTGACCATTTTGCTAAAATTTTTGAAAATTGAAATATAATAATAATAAATGATGGGATTTCATAAAATTGATTTGTAATGGAAAAAAATTTACAATATTTTACCTAGATAAGTAATGATATTCGATAATATAGCGCTTTACAATAATAAAAATCTTAATCAGATCAAAGTTTTGATTGTGATTTTTTTTGATCGAATACAGTATTTTTAAGAATGTATGTTTTTTCTACATCGATGAGATAATCCACAGCTATTGATAGAATAACTAAAGATTTGGAAAATATGTATTCTTTGTATTGTCATCATCAAGAAGGCAAATTGTAAGGATTCAAAAAGTTATATGTGCATGTAGCATCGCTATTACACTATTTTATGATAAAAAATATATTAATATGCTTATCCTACCTGGAACTTGGTGTTGTAGGATGTGGACGGACGGACTTGTTTAAATATTCAAAAAAATTACGTAATTCCATGTTTTGTAATACCTGATAATGGAAATTTATTGGTTTAAAAATCTTTCCAAATTTGATTGCAAAAAAAATTCCTATAAATAAATAGAAATTACATGAACAACCCCACATCAGCTTTAAACATGACAAAAAAACAAGATAAAAATGGCTCAAAACAATCAAATAAACTTGAAACTTTGGGGAATGAGGTTACTATGAATTTGAATAACATTCTTTATCAGAATATTCAAGCTTCTCCTTATTTCAAGCAACTTTAGTGAGTATGTTGTCTCAATATTGTTCAAGCTTATTTTAAAAAAATACTTTAATCTTGACAGTAGTTTTTTAATTAACGGTTTATTTTTTAAAAAAAAAAAAATAGTGAATTAAAAACCTATCATGAAGTTATTGATGAAATTTATAATCATGGTAATATTTTTTTTTGTTTATTACATATTTAATGGAGATTCTAGTTAATCAATAGCATTTATTAATTTACATTTTGAATCAATAATTTACATATTCAAAAACAATTAACATAATAGTTGAGTCACTTGGTAGGTAAACACCAATGCCTTTTTTATTATTATTTAGGTTTGCCAAAATATGTATACAATTGAGGTTAATTAATTAATTATCCTATTTTTAATTTAAAATAGAACCATTCCTAAAGGGAACAACAGCTTCGACAGCATTTTGTTTATTATATAAACTTTGGACCCTTCGATTAACCGTTAAACAAGTATCAGGATTAATTGAACATCCTGATTCACCGTATGATTTTTTTCCTTTTCTCGGCATATATATTTATATTTTTATTTTTAAATGTTAAATCAAAAAATTTACCATAAAAAAAAATTTTTTTTAATAGATATATTCGTGCTTTAGGATTTTTATATCTTCGATACGTTTGTAAACCAGAAAATTTATGGGAATGGTTTGAAGCATATTTAGATGATGAAGAAGAGCTTCAAGTTCAAGGTGGCGCTCGTCCAATAATAATGTATGTATGTTCTATGGAGTATATATATATTTTATTACACTCCAAGAAAGTAATTATATATTCAATAGTGAGTTATATATATATTATGTGTATTATGTACTTGAAAAAAATTTTTTTTTCTATAACAAATAATTTAATTGATCCACCTATATTTATTTATACATAAACATACATCATACATTTATATATTATATATATATAGGACAATTGGTAAAATTTGCAGTCAACTATTAACTGAACAAAAATGGCTTGGTACCATACTACCACGTATTCCTGTTCCAATAGCACGTGATATTGATCAAAGATTAAAAGAATATTCATCACAAGATCTTCCACCAACACCACTACCACCTTCATCATTAACAAGGTAGGCACATATATATATGAAATATATATTTATATTATTATTAAATTTTTTCTTCCTCCTTTACATCTTTTTAAAAATTTTAAAAATTAAAAAATTAAAAAAAAAAAAAATAATAAAATATTAAAAACACGAGTGGATTTCTTCATCATTTGCTAGGGAATGAGGTAGAAAGATAATAATAATATAATACTATATATTAATGAAAAAATCATGCTCCCCAAAAAATAAAAATAAAAAAACATTCTTTAAAAAAATAAACTCTTTTACAATTTAATCATAATTAACAACAAAAAAACAGTTTACTAATATTTCTTTAATTTATATTTTTTTTAATTTTATATATATATATTTTCGTATTTATTGGTGATGATGACTATTAGGAGAGATTCGTATGATTTAGAGCCAAGACCATCTGATCGTGCTGTTTCGAGACGTGGTGGTGAAGATGAAGAAAGAGAGCATAGTAGCAGACGTAGTAGAACACGTAGTCGTAGTATTGAACAAGGAGGAGGATCTTCGAGATCACACAGATATAGAGATTATGATTATGATCGAGGACGTCGAGATCATGACAGATACAGAGGAGATCGAGAACGCAAGCGTAGTAGGAGTGATAGCCGTGAGCGTTATCATCATCATAGACGGCATAGAAGTTCTAGTCGTGATAATAAAGAAAGAGATTATGATAGTGGTAGACGCTCATCAGGTAATGACTATGATCGTAATAAAAGAAGACATGACGATGAAAGAAGTTATGAGCGTCGCAGAAGCAGAAGTCCTAAAAATTAATAAAGAAATTTTTACTTTTAGGTTTGGAGAGTATGGAATTAATTAATTAATGTAAATTTTTTATTTATTTTTTTTTTTGGAAAAAAAATAAAGAGAATATATATATTTACTACTTTATCATATATATATATATATATATATATATATACACATACATACACACACACACACACACACGCTATTATACTTTACTTCGAAAATAGAAATTAGATTGGGTATATAAAATAACATTTTTGCTTTTTTTTTTGATTTTTATCTTTTTTTATTATTACTTACAAAATAAAATAATTAAAATCAATTGGGACTAATGTTGATTCTGATATGTATATTGAAATATATATTATTTTTATTTTTATCAATTTTAAAAAAAAACTAAAAATAAAAATAAAAAAATTTTATGGATTTTACAAAAAGAAAGAAATAAATAAAAATAAAGTCGCCTTTTTACATATATATACATTACATATCATTATTTTTCTTCATCCAATGGTTATAACAAAAAAAAATATATATATAAAATAATAAAAAATTTTGACTTTGTACAAAGAATAAGAATTTTACAAAGAAACAAGTATAATAATAACAATAGTATAAACATAAAAGGTGATTCCATCGATTCCATCCAATACTCTAACTATTATTGTTACTAACAGAAGCATTTACAATTTCATTGTTATTATTATCATTATTATTGTTATTGTTATTATTTACACTATTATCACCACTACCACCACGTGAATTTCTAAATAATCTGCTTGTTCTACGTCCTTCTTTACGAATAGATGCAAGATATTTTACCCATCTGAAGTGAGGGAAAGCACCATGATCATTATTTCTAGATTCAATAGGTGAAGAAGTAGAAGAATTTGTAGTAGTGATAATTGTAGTTGGTGTTTTTGAGTCTTCATTATTACTTTCATCAATATTCCAAGTCGTGCAATCAGCTTTACACATTGGACATAATGATGATACATCTAAAAGCCAAGGATCAATACAAGATCTATTCATTTAAATACAAATAATTTTAATCAATAGATGAGATGATGTGACTAAATTAAAATTAAAAGCAAGGTAATAGATAGATAGATAGATAGGATAAACTTACATGTGGTATTGATGATGACAAGGTAAGATTCTTAATTTTTCGCCTTGTTCAAAATCTCCCAAACAAATTGGGCAAGTTAATTGTGCATCAGTTATATTATTTGATGCTAATATAGCAGGTGGAACTATAGATTTATTTTCTTTTAAAATTGCAGCTTTAGGTTCTTGTAATGTATCTATCTTGATATTAATAACATCTTCATTATCGTTGTTAGTGTCATTATCGGTTTTAGTCAATTTTTCTAAATTTTGATCATCTTGACGACTAATAACCGGAGTAGAATCATTTATTGTATCTAATTTATCGATTGCTTTAGATTTATTTTTTTCAAGGTCATTATTATTATCGTTATTATTGCCTCTTAAAGAGAATAAATAAACAGGAAAACTATCCAAAACAGATTTTGTAATTCCAGGTTCATTATTATCGTCATTTCCATCAATATCGCGAGACCTTCTTGCTGATGGACGAGATGAAGCAGATCTGTTTCTAACAAGATTTGTGATTATCACCAAAAAGAATACGCCTAATACTACACCAGATATTGCGTATAAGATTATCATAGCAGTCTTATAGGTATCCATCACTTTTTTATTTTCATCATTAGTAGTATCAGTGACGGTGGGAGGAATTGTTGTAGGAGTTGTTGTAATAATAGGACTGATTGTACCATAAGATCCATCATTCGCCATCAACTCATTACAACTTTCACTCGTTCCTACGAATATTGGAACGTGGAGATCCTCCGCACGAGCCAGGTAATATTTACACAAAGCATAATCGTATGGGAGTATTACCGCTTCACTAGTGTCCAACTCGGTTATGTTTTTCAGCATAAGAGGTGCGTCACACTTGACATAAGCCATCCATCTCTTAACATTTTTTATGTCAATCTTTGGCCAATTATATATTGCACCCTATATTGATTGGATGAATGGATTGATGATTGATAAATATATAAATGTATATAAATGTATATGCATTGTGAAAAAAATAAAGAATACAAACATTTAATTGATCCAATTGATCAAGAACAGGAGAATTTTCCCAAAGTGTCAAATTACAGCTTCCTACTTTACGAACAGTAAAGTTGTAGGTAGGAGAATCACTATTCAGTTGACAATTAACTGAAACTTGAAAGCTAGCAATGATGATTAGAATTATTAAAGAAGCATACAAGGAAAACGTCATGATTTTTGATTTTTTTTTAGAGTTGTTTTTTTTTTTTTTTTGGAAAAACAAATTAATTTACAAAGGAAAATTTATTTTTAATATTATTTTCGTTAAAAAAAAATTTTTTTACTAAATATTATATATTAAAAAATATGAAAAAGGACTAGTTCATGGAAAAATAAAAATTTCCTATTGATAAAATAACGATTTTCTTTTATTTTAAATAATTGATTTCATTAATGATACAACTTCGAAAATCTGATCTTTAATTGGAATCAATTTATTGTCACAAATAAAAAGGATAATTATTTGTCATAAGAAGGAATTAAAAATTCTTAAAAAAATATTTACCAGAAAATTAATACTTATATAGCAAAGGGTCCATATTTAGATCACCAAAAAGTAAAAAGTTAAAAAAAGAACTCAGTTTTATTTACTGGAGAATTTTTATCTGGTGATAAAACCAGAAATTTCATTGTAGAATGATAAATGTGGAAAAAATACCATAATAATAATATCATTCATCGGCTGTGCCTTCGTGCCACTCCATTACACAACAACAACAACAACAACAACAACAACAACAACAACAACAACAATATTAATATTAATATTAATATTTGTTTGATAGAAAAACATCTCCAGTTGTGATGTAACGAATGATAAGACAAGTTTTCAATCAGGCGGTCAATTTTACATTTTGATATATCATTATGATTTATCTCGATATATATATCATTATGATTTGTCTTGATATATACATAACTATGATATCATATCTTGACATATGTCTATGATATGAAATGTGAAATCTTTTCCGTTTAAAAAACGGCAAACATTTTATTTATTATTATGCGAATAATCCAGATGAAGTTTTTCTACATGAAAGAATTCAAATATTTTTTTTACATAAAAAATTTACTATAGTAATAGTACTAGAATGGAACTGGATATTTAGGATTAGGATTATAATTATAATAATATTATTAACTATATATATTAAATAGAATGGTTAGTGTAACCTCAATAACATTAAATAACATTACCAAATTCAAATGGTTGTAGTATATAGTAGTTCGAAAAATAAAGTTTAGATTATATAATAATAACTCATACCGTAAATGTTGTAAAAAGATCTATTGTTGCTGGATTGAATGAAAACTCTATATTATGAAGGCGTTCAATATTTTTCATTTTAAGAAGTTTGAGCATTCTCTCTTTTAAAGTTTCTTTCGATTCCTGGTGTTGTAAAGCTCAAAGGGCTTTACTTTCATGAATTAGAAGCTTTTGAAAACTACTAAGTAAAGAGAAATCCTATGTTATACAAGAAATTGTCATTTCCAATACTTACTATGTCTTCTCCCACGGATTTCAGACGTCATCTTTTGTGGGGTATAACTGAGGTGGGACATATAAAATATGGAAATATTACTATTACACTAATATTGTGTAAGCGTACAATTTTCCGAAGTATCAGGCATTATTAATATTTATATTTATAGTAAAATCAATCAAAAAATTTATTTCTGATTTTTTTAAAATAAAATGGAACTATATTTGGAATACATCATGACACAACTAGTCTAAGAGAAAAAAAAATGATATGATTCAAAAATCTAAAAGTAAAGAAATTATTCTTAATGTTAGTAGTAGCAACAGTGTTAATAATAATACTGTTAGCATTATTATTAGCAATGAAAAGAGTGAAGCTGAATAATCATCAGTTGATAAATCTTTGGATAACCTCATTAATAATAACAATGCACTAATGGCAACGATTGCGACTGCAACAACACTTCAATCACTTTTACGATTTGCTAGATCACCAACTCTTTCTCCAACATCAGGTCTGGTACACCTTTTGAAGAAATAACTTTGGATAAATTGATGCCAGGAAGTTATTCAGCTGTTACTACTGCTGCTACTACTACTAATAATAATATTACAACTTCTTATCATTCTCATCGTATCAATATGATCCTAAATTATTTGGAAATACAAAAAAAGCTTTACCTTTACAAGAGGAACCAATAATGACGTCAATACTATTTTTACTAATAACAATAATAATAATATACAAAATTTACAACCATCCTCCTTCTCCTTGGAATTCAAATCTTGACAATTTGAATACATTTGCAAATGAATCAGATAATGAATTTTCAAAAAAATCTTAATATTAATGTTTTCTTTTAAAAATTAATTATTTTAATTCCAAATATTTAACTTTACAACGTATATAATATTAATCAAATCAATCGATTTAATTAACTTAATAAAATATTTTTTTACCAGTCCTCACCAAAATTTTTCTGCTCATTAATTCCTAGATTATCATTATTGGATTTTGTCTCTTTGATTTCACCTTCAGGAGGTAAATGAAATACTTCAATTGAAAATCTTTTGCGTCTTAATTTAAATCCTAAATTATTATTTATACCAACACCACCACTATTACCACCACCACTATTACTACCACCACCTGATAATATAGATAACTTCATGGTTGATGGAACCAGAGAATTTATTGTTGGTAATTTATGAATACGAAATAAACCATTAAAAGATGTTGAATAAATCAAATTGGATTTTGACAATGATCCTAATACACAACAGCAATGAAAATGTAAATGTAATAAATTATAAGAATATATAACATAATGTGGATGGGTTATTAGTTATATACAATATAATGTTACCTACCTGCAAATGATTCAATTTCTACAACTGCATCACAAATATGTTCAATTTTTCTTATAAATGATGCATTTATTGGTTCATATAGATATGCTGGTATTGTAATGATTGCCGAACTATATGTATTTCTAATCAATCCTCTTAGTGCATGCAAAAATCTAAAAACATCCTAATAATAATATGTTTATAAACATATGAATGGGGGTTTTTTTGATAAAAAAAATTCAAGCAAAAGATTAAGAGGAAAATTCTTTTTTATTACATTGGAATTTCTAGCTTTCCAAAACGGTGATGCAATAGAATGTATTCCTATTCTAAGGATGTTTCTTTTTATTAAAAAAGACAAATTAATATAAGAAAATCTAATAATATATAATATATAATTATTTAAAGATGTGAAAAACCTAGGATTATTCTCCTTGATAATTTTTTGCAATTTAATCAAAATTGTTTCATATTGATTTTTATCATCAACGTTATCTTTAACAATATTTTCTTGATTAATCCAATTAGTGCCATCAATCAGTGTAATTAGCTTTGAAGAACTCTCCAATATTGAATTTGGTATTGTTTTAGTGAGATCAAATATCTCACAATAAGAGCTTTCTTTTTTATTTAATGTTGAAGAAGACGTCGAAGAAGAAGGAGAAGTTGTTGTTAATAATTGAGATTTTAAAATATTTGAAGCCTCTTTATTTTGTAAATTAATTGGAACAGGAACTAAAAAAGATAATTTGAGAGAGAGAGAGAGAGAGAGAGAGATAGAAGGAAATAAATAAATGATTTAATAATAATATCAATGATAAAAACAATTTATAACAATTTATAAAAATATAAATATATTAACCTCTCTTATTCAAACTATTTTTTATGTTGGATTCAACTTTTTTTAGTCCTTTATATCTCCAAGCAATTGTCATTTTATCATCATCGCCTACATCATGATCATAATCATAATCATCTACATTTTTATCACCTTTATCTTTCTTTCCTTGATATCTATCATCTTTTTGATCATGATTATTATCATCATTGTTAGCAACAACCCAAGGTAGATTGGATATTAATTTCTTTGGATTTTCTTCAGCTGTTATCAACAATACATGATGTTCTGAACTAATCCCTTGTGCCAAAAAATATTTCAATAATAACTTTGAATATTCAGTGTTACGATCTTCTTTTATTAATAACACAGTACCAACTGGTAATCCTCCTCCTAAAATATGTTTTTTATTTTTATTTTAAGAAAGTTAAAGATACTACTAGTATTCTTTAGTTGATGAGTTTTATTATTTAATTCATTCAGAAAGGATATCATCAAATGATGGTACACCGGTAGATATTAATAATTGCCCATTATATGGTGAAAGTCTAGTTGAGGCTGGTAAGATTTTTTTTTGATTTATTGTTGAGGAAGTTGACAATGAAGAAGAAGGGGAGAAAGAAGAGGAGGAGGAGGAAACGCGTTTCTTAAAAGAATTTTTTGTAGTCATTATTATTATACTGCGACAAAGTGAACATTATGTCACGAAATAATGCAAAGTGACAATCTGATGTGACTGTGATATTAACAATGCTTTAATAGCCTGGAACCCGTTCACTATCTTTAAAAAAAAAAGAACAAGGAGGCAGCATTTTATGTATTGATGCTAAAGCATTTGGAAGAAAGAGAAAATCGTTTATGAAGTTTACTAAGGAGAATGAAGAATAATAACAAAAAACTAATAGACACTAAGTATCTATCTTTCTTTTCTCTTTGCAATAACAGAGTATTAAAGTATAATTGCTATATAATAATAATCATAATCAAATGGATTTACCCCATTAACCTTTTCTTCTCCTTCATATGCGTGTACTGTTCAATTGGTATGTTTTACTAAAAATCTCATTTTGTTATTTATTAAGTGAAAACATAAGTTTCTGGACATGTGTCGAATTTGAGGCTCCGAAAGAATCATGTCAAACCCGGATTTTTTAAATTGATATTAAAATTTTTAAAAAATAAAATATGCTTATTATTATTAGTCGAACGATATGTCACTCGCGTAACCAATCGGTTTTTTAAAATATCTCTTTATTTTTTATAACAAATTCAAAACATTATTATTACTCAAAAATAAACTATGACATTATAGCTTTCTAACAAATCTCTCTCATATTGATAGAGGCTCTCTATATTTATTTAAAAGCAGCATTACTTTTACTTCAAAACTAAGATTTTTTACCAATATTACCTTTATAAACTTGATGAGTATAGCTTTGCTTTATGTGGATTGTTGTTTATTAAAGTTTAGTGAATTTATGAAGATAATTAATTTCCAAATGCGGTAATTTGGTTGATAAACTTTAAACACCAAGATTTTTTCTATTTATCAATAACTCCCCTAATTTTTTTTTCTAAAAGAAGGAATAAGTCCTGAAAAATCCTTGTGTCAAAATAAATTTGGTGGAGATTGCTGAGCAAAAATTAAGGTTTGTTGGCTAATTTTATTAATAGAATTTCGATTAGTGTGACAAATCGTTCAACTGTTATAACTAGAATAAGGCAAACCTTGTTTCAAAAAATCTGTGCCTCTACAAAAAAATCATGTACTAGTATGGTTGGCTCGGTCTAAATAGGGTTTCTATTCGTAATACAAATTCTCAGTTGACCTTTAATTCGAATTAAAAAGTTTACACAGTAAGTCTCGGTATAGCGGACCTCGGTATAGCGGATTTGGGGGTTTAGCGGATAAATTTTCAAACCAAATTTTTCTATAACAATTTTATCTCGGTTTAACGGATTTAACGGATTTTTTACATAAATTCGGTTTACTGGATATTTTTAATATTAATATTAATATTAATATATCGATATTACGGATAATGATGATCTTTACTATTTTGGGCCAATATGAGTAATGACGCGCAATTATTAAATATTAATATTAAGAATGTAAAATAATTAGAAATAAATTGTAATAATCA